CTGCAGCGGGCACGGTCATCCGGGGCACCGTGCGTGGAATACTGCGGCTGATGCTGGCACTCAGCCACAGCTCAGACGAACGCTGCTTGTCAGGGCTGTCGGAAAGCATTCAACCCCAGGATGATTGAACGTTCCCTGGGAATAACTTGTCAGTAGCTGCCTCTCCACCTCCTTCTCACCCAAAGTCCTTGCTTCCTAATCAGCCCAAACGGCCCAGTCCTTGATTTTGGGAAGCAGTGCTGTTAACCCTTCCTTCTCCATGGAGCCCACAGAACTGGAGGTTCTGGTGCATCTGGAGGTTCTTTGTATCTGGAGCTAGCTGAATGTAGGGGGAAGGAAGGGTGTGGAAGACCAGGCATCAGGCTGCCCCTGTCCAATGGCCATGGAACCCCTTCCAATAATAAGCCCATTACCTCCACAGGAATTGGTGCTTGTTGAATGAATGAATGACCAGAAGGGTAAACCCTATGAGATTCATTCATTCATTCAAAAATACTTCCTAAGTATCTCACCATGCTGGGCACGACCCGAGATGCTGGGAGGACATAAAGATCATGTCCCTGTTCTTCTGAAGCTTATCTTCTAGTCGATGGAGACAGATACAAGGCAAATAAATAAATATGGACAACAATACCAGGTAGTGTTGAATGCTAAGAAGAAAGCACAGTAAGACAAGGAGTTGAGTCTGATACATTGGGGGTAATTCTTTAAACCAGCACTTGGGAAGGCCTCTCCAAGGAGATGGTATTTGCACAAAGAGCTAAAGGTAGTGAGAAAGTCATTCAGCCATGGTGAGAACAGTCAGTGCAAAGGCCCTGAGGCAGGAAGGGTCTTGGGGAGTTTGAGAAGCAGTAAAGCATTTGGAGAAGGTGGATAAAAGTGGGTCCTGGCATGACCTAGGAGCAATGGTTCCCAAACATGAGCAGGCATCAGAATCACCAGAAAGGTTTATGAGAACACAGATTGTGATTCCCACCTCCAGAGCTCAGTTGGTCTGAGTGGGGCCGAGGAATGTGCATTTTTGACAAGTCACTGTGTGATGCTGATCCTGCTGATCCAGGGACCACAGAATACTTATTCTTAAAGCAACTAGTCTTTTCCTACTCAACACTGACCGCAAGCAGCCACAGATAACCACTGTTGATTACCTGATTCCCCACGGGGCTAGATGCTCCCTGAGAATAGCCACGATGGTGGTTTGGCCCCTGGTGCTTAGTGAGTGTGGTTGTTTAGTCTCTCAGTGGTGTCCGACTCTTGCGACTTCATGGACTGTAGCCCACCAAGCACCTCTGTCCATCAGATTTCCCAGGCAAGAATACTGGAGCAGTTGCCGTTTCCTTCCAGGCAATCTTCCCAGCCCAGGGACTGTACCCACATTTCCTGTGTCTCCTATCACTGGCAGATAGATTCTTCACCACTGAGCCACTAGGGAAGCCCATTTAGTAAGTAGTACCCAATAAAAATATTTGTTGAATGAATCCCTCAGAGAAGGTTCTATGCCATGCCTTGCCTCACTTTCTTTTGCCATTCTGCTGTACATCTGGCTTCAAGCAAAGGCCTGGGTCAGACCTATCACCTACCAGTCTCCCATTCACTCTTAAGCATAGCGTGTCACCTGCCATCCTCCAAATGTTCAGCTCTTTCCCACAACTCCATGCCTTTGCATGTGCTGTTCCACCTACGCAGGAAGTCCTTACCCCAATGTCCACCTTGTAAATTCCTACCCATTCTTCAAGGCTTTCCTTCCAGAATATCCTTCCCAACTCCACCTAACCAGGGTTGAGAGTGCTCCTTGGGGTCCTGTATCTACTCTTGTCATAAGATTTGTTCACACATCTGTCTTCCTCAACTAAATGTCACAAACGGGCAGCCCGCAGAGTGAGCCAGACAACGGAGGTGTTCAACTGCAGCTGCTGCAGTGTTCTAAACTGAAGTTCATTGCCAAAATTTGAGAGTCAGGGGGAATACACAGACAAAAGAAATCCAGATTCCTGGCTCCTCTAGAAAATGCAGGGTTCCGTATGACTGGGCCTGTATTCCCCCATAGCCAACATTTGCCAGAGTTGCCTTGGTCTCTGGTACCTTCATTTCATGACCCAGCAACCAGCACAGGGCCTGGCCCAGAGCAGGCACTCAAGAAAAGCTTATTAATGCAAACGGAAAGAGTACACCAAGCAATGGAAAAAAAACATTGGTCCTAGGAGCAGGAGACCTGAGGTCGGTTCTGATTCTTCTTGCATGAGCCTGGGCTCTCTGTGGGCCTCAGTTTCCTTACCTGAGAAATGGAAGGAATGATCCCTTCCACTTCCCAGAGTCATTGCACCCTATAAGAGAGAGGATGTGAAGTGTTTAGCACATGTCTGGAATATCTAATGCTCAATCAGCAGGAGCTATTAGTGCAAGGGACTCAATCAATATTTACTCTCTAGGATGGAAAGAACTGTGAGAGGATCAGAGGCAGGAGAGGTCCCAGTAGGGGCCAAGAGGCTGATGGTCTACCTGCCTTCAGTTCTGCCCTTCACCAGCCTTGTGACCTTGGGCATTTGATTTCACCTCATTTGGGCCTCAGTCTCCCTGTTTATCAAACAGAGATGATACATGCCTCACAGGGGTTATTGTCAATATCAAACAGGAACATGAATAGTAAGTTAATGAACTCTTCAGAGCACTCAAACTGAGGCCAGCACCCAGTGTGGGCTTGGCAAACACCGGCTCTGTTATAGCTGCTCAGGGAGGGGTTAGACTAGAATCTCAAGCGTCTTTATGGCTCCCAAACTCTCTGATCCCCTAAAACCCAGTGACAGTCATGTGCCTGTTGTTTCATCATCAAGAGTGTATAGAAGGCCCTTGGGATGGCGGAGTGAGGTGGAAGAATTCACCGTATGGGGTTTACCACCTCTGTGTGTGTGTGTTAGTTGCTCAGTCATGTCTGACTCTTGGCAACCCCATGGAGGCTCCTCTGTCCATGGAATTCTCCAGACAAGAATGCTGGAGTGGGTTGCCATTTCCTTCTCCAGGGAACCTTCCCGACCCAGGGATTGAACCCAGATCTCCTGCATTGCAGGCAGATTCTTTACCATCCTGAGCCACCAGGGAAGCCCCTCTGGGAAGATACAAAATGCTCTTACAACAGTATTGACCAAAATCACATCCAGGAGCAGGAAGGAAAGGGCCGATGTAGTGCTGAGGAGAACAACCCCATAAGGGAGGTGCAATTATTACCCCCCACCACTTCACAGATGAGGAAACTGAGGCTCCCAGAGGTATCACCCCCAGATGGATCTCAGCATCTGAGCCCCATGGAGCTGCCTCGGGAGGGTGACTCACTCAAGAGGTCCTTTAAGGGATTAACAGGACAGTCTGGAGGCAGAGGCAGAAAGACCAGGAGAGGCTTTGTGACTCACCGAGACCTGGGGTATCTGAGACAGACTTGCATGATGTCTCCCAAGAAAACAAGTAAGGCGGAATGCAGGAGACAGGTCTTAACCATAATACCAGGAATGATTGGCAGGGAAAGATAATTTCAAACACCTTGCATTGTTTCAGTCCTGATTCAAGGCTGAAACATTTGCAGCAGTTTGTAGAGCATGTGTGTGTTCATCGCCCTGTGAAAGACTGGCAGCCACAGTAAGACACCCGGCAGGTGAGATGAAAGGTGTGAGTGTGTGCATGCTCAGTCAAGTCCAATTCTGCAACCTCATGGACTGTAGCCCACCAGTCTCCTCTGCCCATGGAATCTTCCAGGCAAGAATACTGGAGTAGGTTGCCATTTCCTATTCCAGGGGATCTTCTCCACCCAGGGATTGAACCCACGTCTCCTGTGTCTCCTGCATTGGCAGCCAGATTCTTTACCACAGTGCCAAGCCCTAAATAAAGGGCATACGATAGCAAATTCTGAAGTCTGCACCTTCCCTGAGGGGCTCTTCTTCCCTTTCAGCACCAGCAATCCCAGAGGAACCGGCAGGAGTGAGAAAAGGGGTGCAGGCATCTGGCTGACATGATGGTGATGATAAACCCAATCTGTTCTGTAAATCTCTTCTCATTCATCCATTCATCACTGCTGAGCACCTACTGTGTCCCAGGCACTTAGAGTCTCAGGACAACCGAAGAAGGTGGCTTCCACGAACCCCTTTTAAAAGTAAGCAAATAGACTCAGGGGTGAGGCCATTTGTCCAGGTCAGGAAGACGACCGTGATTTCAGTCTGGGGGTTCCTGACCGCAGAGCAAGAGGGGCCTCCCCGGAAAGTCAGCCCCCTTGGTGGGGGATGAGAAATGTCCAGGATGCTCGCTTTCATTCCACGTGTGGTATATGATACGATCTCCACTTCACAAGAGGGGCTGGGCTCAGAGGAAAATACAACTTCAAATTCCTGAGTCCAACCGCTTCCCCCACTTTTCCTTTGTCCATGGACATCACTTTTAACACTTCCGTATTTAAAGCGCATAACGTCCCTGGGCTTTAAGGAGCCAAAGACTGGATTGCTTGATGCACTTTACAGCCACGCTCCCTGGAATCTGGGACTTGGAGGGGCGTCAAGAGCTGCCTCAGCCAGGTCAAGCTGACTCAACGCTCGGCCTGGGCAAGCGCACCTCGTCCAGTGCGCCGGCGCCGCTCCAGTCTCCCGCGCTCGCGATCGGCCCCCTTCGTGGGCGAACCCACTTCCAGAAGGGCAGGAGGATACGGCGAGTCCCCATTCCTCCCGAAGATGGGCCTAGCCAGCCTCTGACCAATCAGAAAGCTTGTTTTATCACCGCTTCTGGATATACTAGGTTGGAGCTGCTTTTGCCTGAACTTTTAAGCCGTGCGGGGGCGGGAGGGGGAAATGATTGACATCTTCTGCAACTATTAGTCAAGCGCAATAAACTTGAAGAGCAGTTATGACAACGAATTATCTGACGAGAAATGGCTGTTAGCTCTTCCCCCTTCTCTCATTGGTCTTCGTGAGCCCTAGGGGGTGGGAGTTTTTGATGTCAGCCAATCGATGGCCAGCGAGAAGGAGGGGGACGATGAGGAGGCGGGGCAGGCGGGCGGTGGTTGCCCCGCGATCACAGCCACAGTGGGGCTGGGGGCTGGGGCCGGAGGGTTTCTGGGTCACTGTTCCCGAACCGCACTGCCGGGGGCTGGATTGGGTTCAGGAGCCGCATCGCCTCCCTGGCAACTTCCCGGCTGCCTTCTGAAGACTTTTAGCCTTCCAGCGCTCCTCCGCGCCCCACCGCCACCCTAGCGCCAGATACCGCCCCGCCGGCTGCCCGAAGGGTCCAGGCCCCATTGTCCCGGTCCTCACCGCGGCCACTGGCCCCTTGAGCGCCAGTTCTCCCTACTCCCCTTCCCAGGCAGGGCCACCAACGCCTCCAGCAGCCGCTCTTCTCTTGTCTGCTCCGAGGAGGTGGTTGGTTACCATGGTGAAGCTGGCAGCCAAATGCATCCTGGCAGGTGAGTCTGAAAACTTGCGGGCGAATACAGTGTCCGGAGTTCAGAGACTTCATAAATTGTTGAGAGCTTTTGTTCATGTAAATTGTCTACCCTCTTTCCCTTTCTCTCTCCCAAAGGCGAGTTAATGCAATTACTGATACAGTAAATTCCATTAGGCATGGGATAATTATCTTCCAGAGCACACTTGTAGCTGCAGCTGGTTTCCTTCCCTCCCTATTATACTCTGAGACCACCGTCACCAATTGGAGCTGTACTCAAGAGGAGCAGACTGGTTTTTAAAAAAATCAGGCTAAGCACACCATAAATGCTTCAACTAAACCATGTGCTGTACTCCAAAGTTAGGCATCCGTGACTTAGTGGTCTTTACTTATGGGATTTTTTTCCTTGACCCCATTCTTCTGAAAACAGGGATAGGATACAGTAATGTCCAGTTGACCAGAGTTTGCAAAAATACCATGTATGTTGTCTTTAAGACCCAAAGTTATGGTTACTGCCCCATAATCTTGAGGACATAAATGATGAATCCCCCAAAAGTGAGAATCTGTTTTGCTGATTGATACATCCCAAGCACCCAGAACATACATCTGGAACGTAGGAAGTACTCAATAAACATTTGTAGAATGAATGCATATGTGGCATGCACATTTGTGGTGTTACTGCTCATTTAGAAATGAGAAGTAACATTTGCCTGGATTATGGACCTGGGACCTCAGAGCACAGATGTACTTTCCTGAGTCCTTGCTGCATTGCCAGGCACATGTATTTCATTTAACCCTTTCACAGTAGGTAGCATCCTGGGATAGGGCTTCCTGGTAGCTCAGCTGGTGAAGAACCTGCCTGCAATGCAGGAGACCCTGGTTCAATTCCTGAGTTGGGAAGGCCCTCTGGAGAAGGGATAGGCTACCCACTCCAGTATTCTTGGACTTCCCTGGTGGCTCAGATGGTAAAGAATCCGCCTGCAATGTGGGAGACCTGGGTTCAATCCTTGGGTCAGGAAGATCCCCTGGAGAAGGGAATAGCAACCGACTCCAGTATTCTTGCCTGGAGAATTCCCATGGGCAGAGGAGCTTAGCGGGCTACAGTGCATGGGGTCGCAAAGAGTCGGACACGACTGAGCGACTAAGCACAGCACAGCATGGCGCCCTGGGTCAGATGCTGAGTTGTTCTGACCTCACTGAGGACTGAGATGAAGTCTCTGGCCCAAGGTCACCCCCTAGTGAAGGAAGGTCCTAGCCGGGATTCCCACCCCCCCAGATCTGCTCACCTCCGTAATTCTTAACTTGTGTTACTGTTGAAACCTGTGACCTTTCCAGGTGTTTCTGACCAATTCAGGAAAGAAGCAGTAAGAGGAAAAGGAGATTCTTTTTTTTTAATTCTTCTCTTTCAGACTGAAAGGGGTGGTATTTGTATTGACTTTTCCAGTTTGGAAGTAAAAGGGTCACACAGAAAGATGACTGATCGAAGTCACTCAGATCGTGCTGGAGCAAAAGAAATGAATGGTCTTCAAAAGCAGTGTCTAGTTTCCAGAGCACCAGCAGGGGCAGTATTGTGCCACAAAAATAATTCCGCAGATTGGCTGTGTCTTCTTGGACAAAGCACTTCTCTGAGCCTCAGTCTCCTCGTGGATAAAGTGGAGACGTTTTTCTCTGAAGTTAGATTTTTTTTAATGGGCTTCTCTCTCTGACTGTTCTTTCTCCTATTTCTTTGTTAAATCAACTTCCATCACGAAGCTAACTTACTGAGCATCATTTTTGTGCCTGTGCTGTGCTATACCCTCAGCATAGGTCATCTCAACAGCTCTGTGGGGTCAGGATTATCGTCATTCTCCTCTACAGTTGGGGGCCTCTCTGAGGCCCAGAGAGGTTGGGGCATTTGCCCGGGGTCACACAGCTGGATTTGGCTGAGCTGGTATCTAGACCCAGGTGATCTGATTTCCAGGGCTTGTTGTTAGCCCCACAGGCTACCAGCTCAGGCCTTGATTCTTGACTCCTTGTCCTTTATACTCACACCCTCAGATACTAGTTTTACCTGGTTTCGTCCATGGCCTTACAAGTCATTCCTGAACTCCAACCTAGCCCTCAATCTGTAGCCTCCTTTTGAGGCCTTAAGGAAATCTGTCTCATCTTGGCAGTTTCCAGGGACCAAGAGACCTCAGTGCAGTGGATAACTATGCCCAGCCCATCTCCACCACCCACCAAATTCTCGTTCTCCACCCCACCCCCCGCCACACGCACCTCCTCCTGCACTGACCAGCTGTTTACATGGGGTCAAGCTGCCTCTATTCCCTCACATAACTAGCTACCAAAGGTCCTTATAACTCAGTTCAAGTGCTCATTCAGTCCTCATATTTACTGAGCACCTATTATGTGTAAGTCACCACACAAGGTGCACTGGGAATCCCAGGATGAACCCAGCCCACTCCCTCACTGAAGGAAGCCCTGGATTGCACACAAATGCTTATAATGCAGCAAACTCAAATAGAACGTCCTTTGTGTGCCAGCTCCCAGAGGAATACCTCAAGGCACGGCTGCTAATTGTCCTGGTTCAGATGAAGAGAGAAAACAACCCTTAACATTTATCTGTATTTTATGTGCTTCCAGATCACTTCAATATTACTTAATATATGTCAGGCACTGTACATGTTAACTCCTTAGATCCTCATAACGATTCTCTGAGATGGATATTGTTATTCCCGATTTTGGAGATGTAGCAACTGAGGCCCAGAGAGATTACAGAACCAAGGTCACACAGCTCATAAGCCTTGGGGCTGGAATCTGTGCCCTGAATACCATGTACTTCATGCCTCTTGACAGACATGGGGGTGATAATCGTGCCTCCCTGGAAGGTTGCTCTGACGAGTCTCATGCCACCAGCAGTGAGCCGTAGTAGCCAGGCAGGTAAAGACAGAGGAGCGAGAGATGACCTTCAGAGGCTGGTCATCAGAAGGACATTCTTTTAGCTTTGCCTGGCAGAGAATTGAGCAGGATTAAGATTTGTATTAGGGAGACCTGGAAGGAGGTTTTTCTTCGAGGAATTTTCAGGGAGCAAGAGAATAGGAGGGTAGAGCCCAGATCTTGTGTAAGGGATAGCCGGAGACAGGGTTGGAAGGTGGAGAAGGGTACACAGTGGAAAGCATCCTTGGACAGGCTCTGGGAGCACATCACACATAAAACAGTACCACTGTTTTATGAAGGTCTGTCTGTCGATGCTGAGCTCAGGGTGAAAGAACAACAGCAAGAAAAAACAAAAATGAAATAGGGCCAACTGGGAAGTTTTTGCAGTCCAGACCTAGTCAAGAAAACAGAAGATACATTAGGCATTTCAGCAGAGAGGTTTTAATGTATGGAATTGGTTCACCGGGTGTCAGAGAACTGAAAAACCCAGGAGACAACATTGTCGTGACACTGAAAGAGTAGGTAGAGATCAGGGTTGTCAGAAGCTTGAAGAAGAACCTCCCCCACCCTCGAGCTAGGATCCAGATTTCCAAGGAGGGAACACTGCCCAGCTGGAGTGGTACCCAGTGTGTGATGTCAGCCCTTGCCACAGATCACTAAGACCCACTGCCCCCTAGCCGGGAGCTCAGGCCCAGTGTTTAGGGCAAGACACCACTAAACCAATTCCAGGCCATCCTGAGGTGCTATGTCTTAAGATCACTTCTAGTACTGAGTGCTACATGAGGTAGGGTCCAGGCAAAAAGCTCAGTATCTAGATAGTGAGGATTTAGCATGGGATGTTCACTAAATATGTACTGGAGGGCTGGGAAGACAAATGGGAACAGTGAGGCGGCACAGAGAGGAGCTGCAGGAAGGAGCCTTACCCCAGGGCTGCAGGAACAGAGGAAAGATGGCTGGGTATCAGAACCCCGAAGCTCAGAAGGGCCCTCGGAATTGAGCTGCAGATCTCTGAGAAGGGGACCCTACCCACCAATGGTAGTGTCTCTGATGGGGTGTATTCAGGCTGGCCCAGAAGTGCAGAACCACAAACAACACAGTTGGAGGCAGCAGCCGACCTCTGCTGCTGGGGTGAAGGCCAGCGCTAGGAGACTGCTAAGAGAAACTGCAAGCAACGGAGAAGGAGCAAGTCCCTCTTCCTCCCCCCCACCAGCCTTCCACATTGTAAGAGTTCTTGAACTCACATTGGCGGAGCCTGACAGGAAGCCCCTGGGAGACGGAGAAATGTGTGTGTGGAGCCCCAGCCCCAGCATCACAAGGCAGAGCATGATGGGTGAGTTTGGGGCTGAGACAGGAGACCCAGTTGACATTCAAGGTAACTTAGGGCAGTGTCAGCCCTTACAACAAAGGAAATTCGGGCTGGAGACCCAGCGAAGGATGTAAGGAATAAAGAGACGGCCGCCTGGGCATGGGAGGAAGGAGGTGGAGACTTCAGAGGTGACTGTGGGTGAAGTCTGGGGACAGTGACAGTGAATGGTGACCAGAACAAATGAGACAGGTGGGCAGGACTGCTCTGGCCCCAGCGTGGCTGTGGACACACTTGAGATTGGGTGAAGGCCCTGCATTGCAGTGGAGACACCCACAGGCTGTTGGAAATGCAAAGCTTGGGAGATGGATTGTGGCACGTGAAGTGACAGCAAACGTAGCAAGAGTAAGTGGGACAGAGTGGATGGGGACCCAGGATGGATGCACAGGAAGGTCCACTTGGCGGAGAGGGGGAGGAGCAGTGGGAGGACCAGGCCAGTGCAGGGTCACCAGGGCCAGAGGGCCGTGGAAGGAGGGGTGCTCCTTCAAGCTGACATCTTTCAGAGACGTTGAAGAGCATGAGGACTGGGGGAAAACCACTGAACTTGGCAATTATGAGGTCACAGGTGACCTTGCAGATGGCACCCTCTCCATCAAGCAGTGCACCCGTCGTCCCCTGTCCCTGCCATCACCCCTGGGCTCAGCCTCTTCCAGGGAAGTCCTCCCTGCTGATGAAAGCCCTCATCAGCTTCTCTCCTCCCCGCGCCCTCAGACACCTTGGTTCTCAGCTTGCATTATTTGAACTTGCACTTGTCATCTTGTTGCTCTGCAAGCGTGTTTATCGGCTGCCTCCCCTTACTGCACATGCTCAGATCTTCCTTAACCAACACCAGAGGTTTTCCAGAAGTATGGGGAACTCTGACTGACAGTCAGAAGCAAGATACATGAAATTAACCAGAACAAATCTGTGGGGAATTTCACAAGCGGGAGGAACCAATTTCCAACTGGATGCAGATGCAAAATTGAAGTCGGGAGGGTGGATACAGTCATCCCCTGAAAGGCTGCAGGGATGAGGACCCACAGGGACAGTTTAGACATGGGTCAGAAGAGTCCCTGAGCTCTAGGAGCGGGGTGGACTGGCGGAAAGAGTGTGCTCCTGGAATCCTAGGCAGATTACTTAGCTCTCTGAGTTTCAGTATGTTCATTTGTCAAGTAAAGGGCTTGGGAAGGAGTGAATGAGACTGTATGAATGGGTCCATAATGGAAGCTCAACCCTTGTTTGTTCCCTTCTAAGAAGTGGTAGCAGATAGAAAAGCAAGACCTGACTAGCTCACTCAGACCCAGAGAAGTTGACGTGAAATGAAATGTCACGAGTAGTCAAGTAATTGTCTCACATGAGGTGACAAAAGTCAAAACTGAAAAGTTAACAGAGCAGCAGGCTATCAAGGAGTCAAGTAAAAGGAACCCTGAGCCACCCATGATGTGGGTTAAGGTGAGGAGATGACATCAAAGGATGCAACTAAGAAGGATGGTGATTTTGCTGAGGATCAAAGGGGTGAGAAAGCAGGAGACAGGTGTTCCGCCAAGGTGCTGGGTGATGGAGGGAGAGTCAGTGTGAAGCTCAAGGTGGAAAAGATCTTGCAAATGAAAGCAGCGTGGTATCAAAGGAGGCCACGTAGAGCCACCGGTGGGGATGTTGGGAGGGCGCAGGGGAATGAAGGATGAGCCCTGAGAGTCTCCAGCACCCCTGGGGGCCCGGGAGGAACTCCAGAACAAATTGCCCCTGCTGCCTTGTGAAAGGTCCAGGTCTCAGACTTGAAAATGTGACATGAACTTTTAGTTTGGAGGTACCAATTTATGGGGCTGTCCACTGACAAAAGAAAGCTGAGAAGATGGACCTGGAAGGTATAAGACGGACTTAGAGGAACCAGTGGCTGTTGCCAGTAGACTTGGAGGAGAGACCCTGGGAAGATGGGTCCACAGTGGTTGCAAATGGGTACCAGGAAGTGGAGGTGGGAAATGTCCTTTGGAAATGGGTTTCAGGTGGCACATGTGGTCCCTGACTCTTTGTCATAAATATGGTCCCACCTAACTCTCACCCCCTCTGCCCCCCAGTAATTATGCAGGATTCTAAGGATGAGTGCTCTAAGCTCAAAGTGGTTCAGTTAGTCACCTGAACCCATAGGTCTGTGCCTGGTCATACCTCCTTGCCTTCAAGTGTGTTAAGTCACTTCAATTGTGTCCAACTCTTTGTGACCCTTTGTACTGTAGCCCACCAGGCTCCTCTGTCCATGTGATTCTCCAGGCTAGAATGCTGGAGAGGGTCGTCATGCCCTCCTCTAGGGAATCTTCCTGAGCCAGGGATTGAACCCATGTCTCGTACATCTCCTGTATTGGCAGGTGGGTTCTTTACTACTAGCGCCACCTGGGAAGCTTTTTACCTTCAAGACTTCAAAGTAAGTTCAAGTTTGTAAGGAACAGGTTTTCCCCATCAGGTGTGTTTCAGTGAAAGAGTCTCGGTTCTGTTTCCAGTGCTCAGAAGCCCTCCTTCCACTCTGTTACCTTCTGGGTCAGTTTTTGTAGATGAAAGGATTAGTCCGGAAGAAATGAGGCTGGTTTGGAAAATGGGTCTCATGGACCCATTGCCCTGCCAGCAACCCCAGGACAATTTCCCATGAGAATCAGGCACATTTTCTCTGAGAACTCATTGAAGTTTTTCAGTTTCTAGACTCTTTCTGGAGTGGGAGATCCTTGAGTCAGATTAGCGTGAAAGCAGTGTTTTTCTTCTACTCTGACCTCGCAGGAGACCCCACCGTGGGCAAGACCGCCCTGGTGCAGCTCTTCCGCAGCGACGGGGCCCATTTCCAGAAGAACTACACCCTGGTGAGATGTGAATGTCATAGGCCTGGCAGAGGCCTAAAGAGAAGTGATCAGATAACCCTAAGGGAGTGACTTTCCCATTATCCTTAAGAGGCCCTCAGAGGCCTGACGAATGGCCACAAGCCACAGGGTTCGGAGCCGTATGGAGCAGACACGCCTGTGGTCAGCTGGTCACCACATACAGCCCGCTCATGGGCTGGGGGTTGGACGAGACTAGGTCCTCTGACTTCTGCACAAGAAGTGAGCCCAGAACAGACACCGGAGCCGGGGACACGCCTCCCAGGGTGGGGTGCTCTTCCTGACAACACACCCCTGGGGGCCCCCTGATGTATGTCTTCCTCCTTTTCCTCCACAGACGACAGGGGTGGATCTGGTGGTGAAGACAGTGCCAGTCCCTGACACGGGGGACAGTGTGGTGAGTGGTCCCCTTGCTGCCCCGAGGGAGCTCCGTGCTGCCCCAGCTCTGCCTGAGGATTCCGTGGCCACTGTCCTCCTCCTCGGGAGACAGGCAGCGCTGTCCCTGGGGAACAGCGATTTCCTAGCTCTCGCCTTCTGGGGGAAAGACTTCAGTCGAGAGACATAGGGCAGCTATATTTTTTTTAGTTGAATGTAGTTGGTGAAGTTGTGTTAGTTTCAGGTGTACAACAAAGTGAATCCGATATACGTGTGTATATATCTCTCTCTCTCTCTCAGTAGTTGCTCAGTTGTGTCCAAGTCTTTGCGACCCCATTGACTGTAGCCCTCCAGGCCCCTCTGTCATTGGAATTCTTCAGGCAAGAATACTGGAGTGGATTGCCATACCCTTCTCCAAGGGATCTTCCCAACCCAGGGATCGTACCCAGGTCTCTTGCATTGCAGGCAGATTCTTTACCATCTGAGCCACCAGGAAAGCCCCCATGTATGTGTGTGTGTGTGTGTGTGTGTGTGTGTGTGTGTGTCTGTGTGTGTGTGTCTGTGTGTGTGTTATATATATTATATACTTTCAGATTATTTTCCCAGTGGGCCATTACAGACTATTGAATAGAGTTCTCTGTGCTATACAGTAGGTCCTTATTAGTTATCTATTTAATATATAGTGGGGTATATGTGTCAATTCCAATCTTCCAATTTATCCCTCTCTCTGTTTGCCTCCTGGTAGCCATAAGTTTGTTTTCTGTGTCTGTAACTTGATTTCTGTTTTGAGGATAAGTTCATTTGTACCCATTTTTTATATTCCACATTTAAGCAATATCATATGATATTTGTCTTTGGCATAGAACAGTTTTAAGTGGCAACAGTTTATTAAGCAAAACAAGAGTATCCTCTTGAGAAAGAACAGGTTGTTTGGAAATCAGAAGCAGCCCCACAGTGGGGTGTGGTTGGGGTCTTTAGAGTGGTGATCCCTCCCTGTGCCCTGCATCGTCTGACTGACAAGTTGATTGACAGCTTTAGGTTCTAGAATTTTTCTCCTTGTGCACAGGCGGCTTACCCATAAGCACCCAAGTGTAACCCACAGTTGGTGGGGGAGGGAGGAGGACGGGGGCGGGCAGAAAGTGCAGTGCTAATTTATTACCAATACAGCATAATGAACCCCTGGTTACTTTGAGTCACCATTTAGGTCTTGGTGTGCCTGTGCCAACCTGTGCTGGAGGTTTTATCTTGCTTGATTTTGATAAGCCTGGAAAGTTAGCAGTGCTTCTTGACTAGAAGAGGTGGTCAAGGACTAGGAGAGGAAGGATCTCTGGGCATACTCTGATCACCAGTGTCGGGGGAGGGGGGGCGGGCGGGAAAGGAAAGAGGACCCTGTCCAGGATGGAGCAGGAACAGGATTTGCTCACATCTGACTAGCTACCTAGTAGTGCCAGGACTTGGTCTAGACTTGTCTGAGTATTTCGGAACAGAATGAGGGAACATGGGAAGCCCTGTAGGGAAGAGACGAAGAAGAGGAGGTGAGGCCAACAACTGCCAAAAGAAAAGAAGGCTAGGAACTCAGGTGTACATATTTCAGCTGTGACATTGCCATGGTCAGGTTCCCTCCTGAAACAGTTAATTGTTGTTCAGTCACTCAGTCCTGTCTGACTCTTTGCAACCCCGTGGACTGCAGCATGCCAGGCTTCCCTGTCCTTCACTATCTCCCGGAGTTTGCTCAAACTCAGGTCCATTGAGTTAACAACAACCAGGACCTAATTATATGACTGTCTCTACCACACCATAGTTTTGTAATGATTTGAAGAATAAAGCAATATCCTGATTTTCAGTTAGCAAAAGTGAGGGGATATTTTGTAACAGTATTTGGTGACTTGGGCTGCCATATATTATGTTATTAATAAACAGATAGAAGTCTATATTCAATTAATAAAATCTATAGAGAAAAAGAAGAGGAAGTGAGGAAGACTGGACTCTGGACCTCACCCTCAGAACTTCCTGAGTACCAAGGTTCCTAATCTGCATCTCTCTGTGCAAAAGCTCAACCCTTGAAATTGAATTCCAAGCTGTTAATGTTTGCCTGTGGGCTTCCCTCATGGCTCAGTGGTAAAGAATCAGCCTGCCAAGGCAGGAGATTCCTGGGTCAGAAAGATCCCCTGGAGAAGGAAATGGCAACCCCCTCCAGTATTCTTGCCTGGGGAATCCCGTGGACAGAGGAGCCTGGCGGGCTACAGTCCATGGGGTCACAGAAGAGTCAGACACGACTTAGCAACCAAACAACGTTTGCATGTACTTTCCTGGACAGAAGGTTTAAGAATTGCCAGATTGTCAAAGCAGTCCATGAGCAAAAAGCAATTTTAAGTACCTGGGATGCAGTGAGAAGGGATAAGATGAACACAGCCATCGCCAATGTGCAAAGCAGAGGATGATGCTGATCTTCAGACAGCGTGTGCTGGTCACCAGAGCCAGTGGGAAATCACAGGGCACTGGGGGAGACTTCCTGGAATAGCAGCAACGGGGAGGGGCTCTCACCTGGGCCGGTGAAGGTTGAGACACGGGCAGGAAGGGTCATCCTGAGCCCTCTGCCAGCATCAAGCCTCAGCTGTCCAGAACCCTGACAGACTGTCCTACTTTAAATGCCTTCCCCAGGCCTCCTCCGTGACCTCCTTTAAACAGGATCGTTTTTCAAGATTTGAAAATCAATTTGGTTAACAAAGTGCAGAATGACCTTTTGGAAACCAGAGCACTTGTCAGCCTGTTTAGCATTCTGTTCTGCCAGGTGGGGAGTCAGCTTGTTCCTGGTATTTTTGCACTCGGGGTTAGAAGAGGTGAGACGCCGCCCAGAAGGGGCTGCTTGGGGTGGGAAACAGTTGTACCTGAGTTCGTTCCTCTTGCCATCGTCGTCTGCCTGCCCGGGGCAAGAGATAAATGTATGTGCACTTGTGCACATGTGGATCACCCTGAGGGCGAGCGGGAGTCCTCTCTGGGTGTGCAGCCAGGGGTTTTCTCAACTTTCTGAGACCTGCCTTTCTGATTCCAGGAACTCTTCATTTTTGACTCGGCCGGCAAAGAGCTGTTTTCTGAAATGTTGGATAAATTGGCAAGTAGCATTCAGTCTTTTTTCTAGCCTCCGCCTCCCTCCAAAGGTTTGCCCCTTAACAATGCCCACTGCACTCCAGTTGGCAGGAGGGGTGACCATGGCAACATTCTTTAAGGACATTCCTCCCAGCTTTGGGGCTTGTGACCCCTTGACAGGTAGGAGCAGCTTTTGCATGTGATTTGTGATTGCCCCTCCCCCCAACTCTGGACCAGCTGGGCTCCCAATGTGCCAGAGTAGCCCCCGACTCTGGTGACTCTCTTCTCTTAGGCAACCCTCTCCTCGGGGTGTTTTTTTCAGTCCTCCTCCTGCACTAGTGGTAAAGAGCCTGCCTGCCAGTGCAGGAGACTTAAGAGACACAGGTTCAATCCCTGGCTGGGGAAGATCCCCTGGAGGAGGGCACAGCAACCCACTCCAGTATTCTTGCCTGGAGAATCCCATGGACAGAGGAGCCTGGCGGGATACAGTCCATGGGGTCACAGAGTCAGACTGAAGCAGCTTAGCACGCATGCCACTTCCTAGGTCTGGAGCAAAGATTTCCTTCCCCACTAGAGGGTGCTCTCGAGGTCCCAGAGCGTGGCTCACTTTACAGTTCAGTTCAGTTCAGTCACTCAGTCGTTTTGGACTCTGCAACCCCATGGACTGCAGCACTCCAGGCCTCCCTGTCCATCACCAACTCCCAGAGTTTACCCAGACTCTTGTCCATTGAGTCGGTGTTGCCATCCATCCATCTCATCCTCTGTTGTCCCCTTCTCCTCCTGCCTTCAATCGTTCCCAGCATCAGGGTCTTCTAGTGAGTCAGTTCTTCGCGTCAGGTCGCCAAAGTATTGGAGCTTCAGCATCAGTCCTTCCAATGAATATTCAGGAATGGTTTCCTTTAGGATTGACTGCTTGGATCTCCTTGCAGTCCAAGGGACTCTCAACAGTCTTCTCCAACACCACAGTTCAAAAGCATCAATTCTTCAGCGCTCAGCTTTCTTTATAGTCCAACTCTCACGGCCATACATGACCACTGGAAAAACCATAGATTTGACTAGACAGAACTTGGTTGGCAAAGTAATGTCTCTGCTTTTTAATATGCTGTCTAGGTTGGTCATAACTTTTCTTCCAAGGAGCAAGCATCTTTTAATTTCATGGCTGTAGTCACCATCTGCAGTGATTTTAGAGTCCAGAAAAATAAANGCAATTGTGAGGTAGTTTGAGCATTCTTTGGCATTGCCTTTCATTGGGATTGGAATGAAAACTGACCTTTTCCAGTTCTGTGGCCACTGCTGAGTTTTCCAAATTTGCTGGCATATTGAGTGCAGCACTTTCACAGCATCTTCTTTTAGGATTTGAAATAGCTCAACTGGAACTCCATCACCTCCACTAGCTTTGTTCAAAGTGATACTTCCTAAGGCCCACTTGACTTTGCATTCCAGGATGTCTGGCTCTAGGTTGGTGATCACACCATCGTGATTATCTAGGTTGTGAAGATCTTTTTTGTATGGATCTTCTGTGTATTCTTGCCACCTCTTCTTAATATCTTCTGCTTCTGTTAGGTCCATACCATTTCTGTCCTTTATTGTGCCCATATTTGCAAGCCTGCCCCATCTAGGTTTGCTCTGGGACCTGCCCCTGCTGCCCAAGCTCCTCCAGTTGGCCCAGCCTTCCTCTTAGGATCCAGTTTGCTGTATCTTCCAAGGTAATCTGGGCCAGTGAAATAATTAGAAGGTTCGAGATCTCCAGAGCCCCTGCCTTTCCAAGAACAGCTACATTTTAATAGAAATTGTTTGCTGCCCCCCTCCTTTTTTTTTCCCTTTTTTTTCTCCTTTTTTTTTTGTCTGGGAGGAATAGATGTAGTGATGGTAATTTCACACAGGGCTGGCCTCATGCATCAGTTCTTGGTGTTTCACCACGTGCCTATATAATGGCCGGTGCTGCCCAGCAGAGGGGATGATGTGTCTGGGGAAGTCAGGGCCACCTGCTGCCCATCCTGGGTCTGCTCACTGAGGCCTGGAGGAAGAAGGTCTCTCCTGCATGCGCACAGAAGTGGTCAGTGTGGCTTCAGCTAGAGTTCTTAAGTTAGTCTGTGGAGTGAAGGTGTAAGGGCATCATCAATTTAGTCTAAGTTCCTCCCATCCTGGAGGCCTGCAGAGCCCATTCCAGGCTGACCTTCCAAGGACAGCTAAAAGGAAAAGGCTTCTTCCTCACACCCTGGGAGGTGATAACACCCTAGAAATAAACCAGGGTCTAATTGTGCAGAATGGGTGTCCCCAGAGACCAAGACGAGTATCAGTGCAGCCCCACAGCCTGTGCCAGGCAGCAGGGTGGCCCAGGACTCTGAGTAGCCCCTGAAGGTGCCAGCTCCTGAGAGCTTAGCCTTGGTTCTTAATTGGGACTGTGAACCCTGTCCAGTGGCCGATCTGGTTTGGATTAGGGCTGACACACTGCTGGAGAAGCAGAACGTACCCTTTGCATTTTAAAAAGCCGACCCTTATTAAGAAGATGTAAGCAAACCAGCTTCCAGTGACTGGCTAATGAAAAAGAAAGATGCGTTTTCAGGCCTGCAGAGCAGAAGAGCATATCAACTTGCATAAGAGTGGGCTCTCAATGAGAACAAGTAGCAGAATGAGAACTGGGGCAGACAAAGCGTTTCTGGGTAGAGAAAGGCATCAGCTCCACCCTGGTGTTTGAATCCCATGTGATCTGGGCAAGTCAGTTACCCACTGTGAACTCAGTACCTTCAGCTACATGGTAGGGATCTTCAAACCAGCCCTGCAGACTTGGGAGGTTTCACGGTGACGCACAGAAAATGCTCAGCAGAGAGCCTGGCATGGACTCGAGCTCTCGCCATCATGGTCACTGTGCCTAGGCCTTCCCATTCATTCCTGTGGCTGAATTGTTTTCGTCCATGGGTGTGGCTCAGTTTTCTGACTCATCTTCCCTTTAGGATTTTTCATTTCCCTCCACCCACGTGTCCATTCCCTTAGAAGGCCAAATCGCCTCCCCGCCTAGAAGTCACTTTCGCTGTCAGTGACGTGTTCGCATCCTGTCCCCCTTGCCTAGTGGGAGAGTCCCAATGTCTTGTGTCTTGTCTACGACGTGACCAATGAGCAGTCCTTCACCAACTGCAGCAAGTGGCTGGAGAAGGCTCGGTCGCAGATTCCAGGAGCCACCCTCCCAGGTAAGAGCTGCAGGCATCCAGGGTTTCCAGCAGCTCCTCTGTCCTTCGAGTTCAAAGGCACAGGTCACTGCAGAGGTACCTGTGGGTGCAAAAACAAGATGCTCTGGGCTTTGAGTGTGGCATCTGGGACTGTACCCTGGCTCTGCCGCTTCGGAGCCCTGGCAGCCTCGGTGTGTTGCCATACCTCTGAGTCTGTAAAATGGACCTGGTGATGCCCATCTGGCAGGGTTGTGGGGCAACTCAAAGATACTAAGGGGGAAGGTGTTGGGATATGAATGCGAGTTGTTTCTGGAAGGTTCACCCCAGGGAAACGACCCTCATTTTCTCCTGTATGTGGGCCACCAGGAAACATGCAAGGCCCGCTGTCACTTCTGAATGCTCTCCATCAGTTTATTTCTCATCCCTATGTGAGATCAACAAATTCTCCTCATTAGAGACCAGGGAAAGCGATCCCCAGAGCCAGGCTCAAAAATTAGCTGCAGCGGATACAGCTGGCAACAGAACTAAATTACCTCTGCATCCCTGACTTCAAGCCCAGCCCTCATATTAGTATTAATGACCGTTTTGAAAGTTTGGTCCATGTGCTCGGAATGATCGCAAATGCTCACATCGGTTTGGCCCTCGCCTTCACAGCACTTGGAGCCTTAAAGAGACAAGGCAGGCAGGTACCTTCAAGGTCTAGAAAAGGGGCTGAACAAAAACTGCAGGTGGAAGGGCGTGCCACCCACTCTGCTTCGACCCCTGGGGCCCAGCGTAAAGTCTGCTGGTGCCCACCACCTGGGGTCAGACAGCCTCTCTCAGGTGATGTTTCACACCCCTCAAAAGTAGGCTGCTTGCTGTTTTTTCTCTCCAGCTGTCCTCCCAGACGGCCATGGTTATAATGCAATGCTCTGATTGTTTCTTTCGAGTAGGTGTGCTGGTGGGGAACAAGACAGACCTGGCTGGCAGGCGAGTGGTGGATGTGGCCCAGGCCCAGGCGTGGGCACTAGGCCAAGGCCTGGAATGTTTTGAAACATCCGTGGTAAGTACCGCTGCCTGCGCCATAGCCCAGTCTGCAGCGGGGCCTTGGCTGGAAGCAGTTTTTTCACGTGACCTTGCATGCATTGAGTTGTTACCCCACCATACGCGGAGCCTGATTTGGAGCTGATGTTACGTCCTTCGCCTGAGATCTCGTCTCAATATAGCAAGAGTCACTCGTGTGTTACAATGAAGCGGATCAGCCAGCCAGCCCTGGGAAAAGCTGGATCCCAGTTAGTAAGGAATACCAGCGTGTGGTGTTCAGTCACAGTGCTGTTGGACGTCTGCAGGAGGCATGGTTATGGCGTTGTTGGCACATTATTGTATAGGCCCTTAGAATCAGTCCCCTGATCCAGGAGCTGGCCCACACTTCCCACTTCCTGATGGGGTGATATGACTGGCCCAAGGTCACGTGCCTCATAAAGGCTTGCACCAGGACTGGGACCCCCGACTTCTGGTTCCCCTCACTGCTCCCAGTCGCCACTGTGCTGCAGCCCCAGAGTGACTCCAGGCCACAGGAGCCCTCAGGAGGCGGGACAGAGTGGTTTGTTCCCAGCACTTTCAGTACACGATATCATGATTTTGGCGTGTTCTCAGTGTCACGTGAAGCCCCTCCTGTGTGGGGAGTTCTGAGTTCCCAGCCTCCCTGCAGCCGGGGTGCAGGCATGTGACCCAGGCTACACCAGTTGGATGCTCGCTTGTGCGATGGTGGCCGGGAATCAAGTGAACACTGCCCCCCGCAGGAGCCACCCAGAAACATCCACTTCAGAGCCAGTAGGGGCCAGGGGCCAACCCCTTCCTGGGGCTGCTGGGGAGACTCGCCACGCCTGGCACAGCCTGAAACATCCCTAGTGGTCACTTGGACCTCACTCCCGGCCCTGTGGCCTCTGGCCCTGATTCTTTGGTTCTCGCAGAGAGTCAGTGGGCTACTTAATAAATAGCCCTGAGGTCGTTTTCTGCTCAAACTCCACTTAAGTTACAGGCACTCTTGTTGCATCTACAAAACTAGACAGACGCTGCTGTTCAATTCCTATATTAAGGTGAACTGTTTTTTTTTTTATTTAGCTACATCGGGTCTTAGTTGCAGCACATGGGAGTCTTTGTTGCATTGTCATGCAGGATCTTCCATTGCATATAGACTCTCTAGTTGGGGCATGCAGGTTCAGTAGTTGCAGGGTGCAAGTTTAGTTGCCCCATGGCATGTGGGATCTTAAATCCCCAACCAGGGTTCGAAACTGCATCCCCTGCATTGCAAGGTAGAGTCTTAGCCACTGGGTCACCAGGGAAGTCCCTGGATGTGAACTTCTTAAACACCCCCAAAGCAGCATGCTTTCCTTAGGAAAAGTGTAGCAAGTAAAGTCAGGTACTCTGTCCCCTGATGGTAAATAGCAGCCCTCTCTGTGGGCCCCATGAGTGTTATTTAACCTGTTTGTGCCTCAGGTTCCTCACCTATTAAATAGGGATGAAAAAATATATTCCTCATTAAGTAATAAATATGAGAATTAAGTCAGATGGTAATATAAAAACACTCAGCACAAAATCTGGGGCATAGTAAATGCTCTGTCAATGTTAGCTTTTTTTAAGTATAAATATTCCCCCCAGTAATCTCATTTATACTATTATCACTAAATCTTTGTATTCCTAGATTGTACAGAGGTAAATGTCAGTCTTGCCTCTGGTCCAATAATCACAAATGCTACATTAATGAAGTTCCAGTTAGTGAGCTTTTACTGTACAGCGAGTTGCCCGTGTTGTATGCAGCACGCCTTTGAGCAAAGCAGTAACTCTTCCACCCACAGCAAACAATATTTGATTTTCCCTCCTCCTCCATTCGCATTCATGAAATTGCCTCCTCACCCCAATATCCCACGTTCTCTGGAATTCTTGATAGAACTCAGAAATTAACCTTCACTCCCAACTTTCATCACCAGAGGCCACTGGGCTGGACATTTAAACTCTGGTCAGGTGTTTGCCTCTACACGATTGAAATGGGCGGGTATAAATGATGTCTGGGGAGGCTGTAGTTCAGCACTTGATATTAACTCTGCAGGCTAACTAGTCCCCCCTGAGCTGATGCCAACAGAAGCACCACCAGCAGCTCGGTTAAGAAAGCTGTAATTAAAAAGGAAATACAACCAAATGCCGTTTGAGACAGCGAAGCCCATCTCCTCCTCTCTTCTCACTGAGTGCAACCACAGTTGTCTTACCTGGCCATTTGTTTTGTTTGGTTTTGTCTTTTTTATTGGAGTGTATTTGCTTTAAAATGTTGTGTTAGTTACTGCTGTTTGATTTTCTTTTTTTCTTTGTAATTCCATCTTCACAACATACTCATTTTAAAACTGGAGGCTTTGTACCCTGTGGCCACCTTCACCCCTTTCTCCTGCCTCCACCCTCATTGCCCTGGGCAACCACCAGTCTGCTCTGTTTCTTTTGTTACATTCCACTTACGAGTGACAACATAGCAATATTTGTCTTTCTTGTCTGGCTTATCTCACTTAGCATAATAGCCTCAGGATTCACCCATGTTGTCACAAATGGCAGAATGTCCTTTTTGTGGCTAAGTAGTATTCCTCTGTGTGTGGACCACATCGCCTTTATCCACTCATCAGTGTACACTTAATGTTGTTTCTATGTTGTGACTGTTGTCATGGATGAAGAAATCTCTCCCAGATAGTGATTTCATTTCCTTGGTTACAGACTCAGAGGTGGGATTGCTGAATCATACGGCTACTCTATTTTTAATTTTTGAGGAACCTCCATCCTGTTTTCCACACTGGCTGCAGCAGTTTTCATACCCACCAGCTGTGCACACGGCTTCCCATTTCTGCACATCATCACCAACACTTGTTATCTCTTGTCTTTTTGATGATGGCCATCTTCACGGGTGTGAGGTGACATAATATGGTTAATCTGCATTTCCCCAAAGGTTAATAATGTTGAGTGCCTTTTCGTTTACTTGTTGGTCCTTTGAATACCTTCTTTGGAAAAATATCCGTTATTGATCCTTTGCCCTTTTTTTTCATCATAGTATTTATGTTTTTGCTATTGAGTTGTACAAATTCCTTATGTGTTTTGGATGTTAACCCTTTATCTGATGTGTGGCTTGCAAATATGTTCTTTCATTCTACAGGTTGCCTTTTCATTTTGCTGATGGTTTCCTTGGCTGTGCAAATGCTTGTTAGTTTGCTGTAGTCCCACTTACTGATTTGTGCCTTTGTCGCTTATGCTTTTGGTGTCATATTCATAAAATCACTGCCAAAGCCAGTGTCAAGGATCTTTTCCCCAATGTTTTCTTCTAGGAATTTTATGATTTCATGTCTTAAGTTCATGTCTTTAATTCACTTTCAGTTAATTTCTGTGAGTGGTGTCAGTTAGGGTTCTAGTTTCATCCCTTTGCATGTGAATATCTGGTTTTCCCAGCACTGTTTACTGAAGGGACTGTCTTTTCCCCTTTGAGTATTCTTGACTCCTCTGTCAAATATTAGATGACCATATCTGTATATGGTTATACCCAGGCTCTCAGTTCTGTTCCATTGCTCTTTGTATCTGTTTTTAATGTTAGTGTCATATTGTTTTGACTATTGTAGCTTTGCAGTATGGTTTGAACAGGAACTATGATGCCTCCAACTTTGTTCTTTCTCAGGATTGGTTTGGCTATTTGGGGTCCTTTGTGGTTCCTCTTTGACTTCCTGACACCCCTCAATATTTGGCATTTTCACACCAAAAAAATTTAAAGCATTTCTTTAAGCAGAAGTTAAAAATTTGTAATGCATTGTTTACTGCTCTAAGAACAGTTGGACAATACTAAATAAAAGCCAGTTCAAGAAAGATCCATAGGGATGGCTCCTCTTGCAGAAGGAAGAGAGGAAGGGAACTGATGTTTGTTGAGCACCTACTGTGTGCCAGGTGTTTTGCACACATTATCTATTTAGGCTTCCTACAGTCCTACTGCTCTCTTTATCTCACTGGTGACAGACTCAGAAAGACTGTGAAGCTTTCCCTGGTCACCCAGTTAACAAGCAGTAGAACCAGAACTAGAACACAGCCCTGCCCAGCTCGATAACCTTCAAGAAGGGGCTCTGGCCTCCCACAGAGCCCACTTTGGGAGTCTCTAGGGGGAGAATTCTAGGTCAGATTAAGTACTAGTCTGACCCTGCTCTAAGGATTCTTCATGCAAAGCAGACCTACTCTACAGGTGTCCAGAGATGTCCACGAGACTATGATTTGTCATCTAACGAAAGGACTCCTGTCATTGGCAAGCCCTCCTAGTGCATTTGGAAAATGTTCCGTTTACATCTGCTACTTCAGGAGCACTCCATGTGTATAAAGAGGCTTGCCTCCATTGAATTCCCTACTTTTTATGTTGCGTTTTCCCTAAGATCTAGCTTTTAAGAGCTTTCAGGTTCATTTAGAAATCCTCAAGCGTGTGCTTTGCCGGCCTCATTCTCTTCCCATTCAACACTTAACTACACTTTCAACCGAGGTAATGTTTTGCCGTTTGACATTGCCTAGGATGTTATACTCTGTACACCCAAAGCCCCTTGCAGATACAACTGAGTTATTCCTCTTATGTCTTACTGGGGAGTGACAGCCTTCCAGTCCTTGGTAGTTGCCAACTTTGTACGGATACTTGTCTGGGCCGCCAGCCGTCCTCTCATTGCTCAGCCACCTCTCCACACTGACACCTCTGGTTCTTCTGTTGGTGACTTGCCTCCTCTGCCTTGGGACTTGCCTTCCTGGAAAGTCCAGTAACTTTCTCTACAGGATCTGGTTTCACATACTTGTTTCTGTCACCCTGTCTGGCAGAGTGGAAAGGCTGCTCTTCTCATACTTGGGGCCTCTGAACTCTAGACTGGGCTCTGCCTAAGCCAGCTGGGCCACTGCACTCCTGGGACCCCAGACCACTGTCTGTAAAACAGAGGCACTGAGCTTGATGACCTCGTTATATCCTTTGGTTTGGAAATCCTTCCGTTTTAGTGGGACTATTTCATTGTCTCTTCTCAAGGCTGCACATTTGCCAGCAGGCAAGGATTGCTGAAAACAAGTACTTGTGCATTCATAGTTTGAGCTACTGTCTTAAAAGTAGTGGCTGCTTTCTTCTGCCAACTTATTTTTTTTAAAAAAATTTTTTTCAAATACCCATGGGCACACACATAGAGAATGACAAAGGATAGCTAAGTGGAGAGAGTATCATTTTCTCCCCCAGAGCTTGTCATGCTCACCCTATAGGGCCAGTTCATCCCACGAGATGGAGAAAATCTAGGGCAAGTTGCAGAACTTTAATCTCTCAGATAATAAAAAATCCTTTGGGCACCTTTAGTCACAAAATTATTCATTGTTTCAGTTATAAAAATGGCCAGTCCTGAGTGACTGTCAAAATTCTTGATTTAAAGTCAGCTCCGCCCCCTGAGCCTGATGTTGGAAGCAGGACAGGGCTCCTGCGTCTGTGTTTCTACACCTGTCCTTCCCCTCCAGCCTGCTTTGCCGGACCTGTTCTGGCCCCTCTGGACTTGCCAGGTGTCTGAGATGCCCTCCCTACCCCCACAGGGGGCTTCTCACCTGCAGCTTCCGCCTCAGGTGACACCTGCTCACCCTTCCTGCAACCTCGGTTCCGGGCCATCCATTGGTGTTGGAACCCATCACCCTCCTGGGGGCTGTCCCCAAGGGGTCCCTTTAGGACCACTTCACACTGGGCCCCTGCAGGGCCCTCTGCTGGTCCAGGGAAGCATGGCTGCAACCCCAGGAGGAGGTAGTGCAGGCCGTCTGTGTTCTTTCCTGTCTTGCTCAGCCATCCAAACAGCCAGCCCCACCCTCACCTCAGTGCTTCCCAAGCCTGGGTCCAGCACCTTCCTGAGCCCCTGGGCTGTAGGCTTCTCTTGGGACCCTGCCACTGACCTCAGGGTGAGGGAGAAGAGAAGCGCCCACATCCATCCTGGGGGAAATACCACAGCACACCCCGCCCCCACCTCCATCCAGCCTGGTCCTCCCTCCAGAGCCTGCCATCTGTTGTTTTGCTTTGACCTCTGGGACCTCAGGCAAAACTAAGCAAGAATGAGTCTCATTTTGATGTCCTGTCACACAATGAGAGTGGCTAAAAGTACAGGCTTTGTGGGAACAGGTCTAGGTTCAGACCCAGCTCCATCACGGGCAAGAGTGTAGCTTTCGGCAATTGATGTTAATCTCTGCGTCTCAGTTGCCTTCTTGTAAAACGGACGGAGCGGTAGTAGCAGCCACGAGTGCTGGGAAGAAGAGGTTGGTCGGAGGTCGGAGGACCCGACAGGAGGGAGGAATGGGGAATGCCAGCTGTCTGCGACGGTCCTAAAGCCAGCCAACCCTTCTTCACCTTGTCTCTTCAGAAGGAGGCGGAAAACTACGACGCCCCCTTCCACTACCTGGCCAGGCAGTTTCACCACCTGTATCGGGAGAAGCTGGAGGTTTTCCAGGCGCTGGTGTGACCGTTCCCCGCCATGGAGCCCGGCCGTGGGCTCTGTCTCCTCGGAACATGGGAGAAGATGGAGCTGCCTGGCACTTCCGGTCTATCGTGACAGCTTTAAATAAAATGAGAAAATGGAGAAGCAGCAGCTCATTCTGTTCTTGGCCCGGGCAGCCCTGGAGCCATTTTACACTTTGGCCACTGCTCCCAGAGTAGCCCTGGCGGCTCCAGTGGTGGCAGCTGGCCTTTGGGACAGTGGGCATCCTGCCTTCCCCGGAGGACACCCCCCAACAAGAGCCCACCCACAATTTGCCGCAGTCGAAATGCTCAGCTTGGAAGTTGCTGCCTGGCCAGCAGGCTGATGGCGCTCTCCTCGTTCTAACAGACTCAGCTTTGCTGTCTGTCTGCCTGCTTTCCAGATGCCAGAGCTCCCTGGTGATGACTACTGTCCCTGGCAAAATAGGGCCCTCTGCTGGCTGCCCTGGGTGCCTCTCCTTGATAAAGACCCAGCCCCCTCCCAGCTGCCAGGAACCCTGAGCACCCAGGGAGCCAAGAACGAGGCCACTTTCCTTTAATGACCCCGCCTCTCAGCGAGCCGGGCAGCAGTCGTAATTCTTTGCACTGAGCTTGACTGTTTTCCATCCTGTCTCTGCTGCCAGATTAATCTTCCTAAAACACCACTTTCATCATTTCACTCCCCTGATTAAAGACCCACGGAAATTCCTCAGTGCCTCTTACATCAGGGCCGCAGGCCGAGGTCTGGCATCGCAGCCCACCTCCGACTGTCAACCCTCACCCCGGAGTCTCGGCTTCTTTCTGCTCCAGCGCCCCAGAAGGTCATAGCCCTCCTTCAGTCCCCCACTGGGTGGGAGTGGAGATGTCCAAGCAGTGGCTTTGAGGGTAAACAGACCTGGGTCAGTCCCAGGGATAGAGATGAGAATGGAAATTACTCTCATTCCTGTTTATGACCTGCCATGTCTCTACATGAGCTGAGCATGTTACACATACTAGCTAATTTAATATTCACAACGCGGAGTCTTTTTCCCACTTTTACGAATGAGGAACTGAAGTCAGGATCACGGACTCCAGAGCCCGGCCCACAGCGACCGCCTTCTCCTGAGTCCGCCTGAGCTTGACCGGGAGCAGGAGGCAGTAGAGGCTAGGCTGCCGCTGAAGGTCATTTCAGAATAGCACGTGAAGGGTGTCGGACACAGTGCCCACCACCTCAGGCCCCTCCCTTCCCGTCCTGTTACCTCTCAACACAAACGCACTGTAGCTACCACTCAAATTTGGTGTCCTCCCACCAAGTCATCCTTTCAGAGGGTAGGGGTGCAACGTGCCAGACATTTCTCTAGGCACTGGTCATTTCAAGCTGTTAGTCTCTTGGCCCGTGTTCCAAGGATGGGAAGATCTACAGTAAACAACCAAGGAAACTTGGAGGGGGCATTTCCAGTTGCTCCAAAATACATTACCGGGACCCACAGCTGTGGCCAAAGATGCTAAGAAACCCACTTCCAAAAGAGGTCACAGAAGTCTTGGGCCAGGCAGCTTCCTCAGGGGTGTCCTGGAGGTGGCAGAACTGGCCCTGCTGCCAGAAGCCACTCCAGCCCCTCAGCTCCTTGTTCTTTCCTGTTTACATTAGAACCTCGAGTCATTTAGAGGAGGAGGTGGTGAGAGTGGATGGTGTTGGTGAATGGGGACCACTCCCTCTCCAGTGCCCTCCCCCAGAACTAGGCAAAGGAGATCTCCCCAGGAGAATCCTAAATCCAGACAGGACGCTGCCCACAAGAGGAAGCTGACATCTTGCTCCCCAGCTGCACACTTGCAGAGCTGCAGAAGCCTGGTGCCAGCTGCAGCGATGGGCTGTTGAAGGCGTCCTAGGGGGAGTTTGGCACATCCTCTAGACTTGTGCGGGCTCCCTCCAGGGGGACTGGGGAGAGGGGGAGAAGCCTGCCAGCCAGCAAGGGAAACCAGTGCCCCACCTCCACTGCTCAGGGGTCCCCAGGGCTCATGTAGGGATCCACATGGAGAGTGGGACTCCAAAGGCAAAGGGCCACTGCAGGAGTGGAGCTCTGGCTCCCCCCACCACCAAAGACGCTGGCAGGGGGCTCCTGTTCCGCTGACAGGACTGACCCCTCCTGGGAAGAAGCCAGCCACAGAGAAGGCTCCGCCCCCAAGGAGCCAGGCACCCCATCTCCCGGGAGATTTCAGCAGGTAGAACCCAACCAAGGGGGGGCCTGAGAAGAAAGAAGAGGACCCACCCTTGGCCCTACTGTTCAAGATGCCCCAGAGAGACGAGGGGGGAAATCTTGTGTCCCCACCCCACCCCCACCCCCCGCATATTCTGGAGAGGAGCTTTGAACCAAGACTTGGAATTTTAAACTGGCCTGGTCTGAGTTTTAATAGCTAGGAGAGCCTGAAATGTGCTGGGATGCTCCCCACTCGCCACCCCCCCGACCCCCGACATGAAGACCCAGTGGGAAGCAGGGCTTGGCAGAGCGTGTCAGGATGAAGCAATTAGAAAAAATAAGATGGGTTCAGTTTGGAGCCCACCGACTTGAGATTCCCAGTCAACTGTGCTGTGCTGTGCTTAATTGCTCAGTTGTGTCCGACTCTTTGTGACTCCATGGACTGAAGCACTCCAGGCTCCCCTGTCCTTCACTGTCTCCCAGAGTTTGCCCAAACTCATGTGCATTGAGTCGATGATGCCATCCAACCATCTCATTCTCTATGGCTCCCTTCTCCCGCCCTCATTCTTTCTCAACATCAGGGTCTTTTCCAAAGAGTCGGCTCTTCACATCAGGTGGCCAAAGTACTGGGGACTTTGAGAGCATAGCAAAAATCCTTCCCCTCTGGGAGCTTACATTCTAGTGGGATGAAAAAGAGGTTCACTTGAACAGAGAAATCCTGCAGTCTGACGGATGGTAACAAGCAGGGGGCACAAAGAGTATGCCAGGGAGAGGGTGGCGATATGAAATAGGGAGTCTAGAAAAGATCCTCCTGAGAAGCGGACTTTTCAGCAAGATCTGAACGAGGGCAGAGCGTCTAGCCCCCTCTCAGTGTGGTTGGTTCATGGGCCCCTTAGAAGTGGAAAGTCCACTTTCCACTTTCTTTACATGGTGGTTGACACTGGGACTCAGCTGTATGCATGGATTCCTGGGGGATCTGAAGATGAATGGGACTCAGCGTCTGCCCTGGGATCAACTACAAGCCATAGGAGAGAAAGATGAGCCAGGACTTCACTTCTGAACCCCAGTGGTGCCCCAAAGCACCAGCACCAGTTCCCCCACCATTGTGAAGGAGGAGCACAGGAGCTGAGCACTTCTCCCAGTGTCTTTGAGACATTCCCTCCCCTCCACAGTTTCCTTCCTCCTGCAAGGAGTGGGCTGGAAGCAGGCATATGGCCTCTTTCTATTCACTTCTGGCTCTGTGAGGCTGACCCCTCTACGGTAACTTTTGCAGCCTGCTGCCATCGCTTGCTGCCCCTCTACCAAGGGGGCAGAGAAGCCCAGGTGCCTGGAGGGTGGAAACACAGTGGGGCCTGTCGTGTTTTGGGGTGATCACTTATAAACGTAGACCCCAGTTCCAACATGGGCTCTCAGGCACTTTGCCTGCTGAGTCCTTTGTTGGGGTCCCACCATGGACAGGTTCCCCATTCAGATGTGGATGGGATGGGAGGCAGCCCCAGGGGGTGTCCCTGCGCCCAGTGGTTCACCCCCTGACACTGACACGTGAGCACCAGCCTGTAGTTTTCTATGTTTGGGAAAAGGGCCTTGGTTAGATGGTCTTCTGAAGGAGACTCAAGAGAGCAGGAGGCTACCTGCTGTAGCTAAAATACATGCATCTGATGCTAAAATGTGTCTTTCTTTAGGTTTCTTCTTCTTCTTTTTTTTTTTAAACACATTTTGGCTACACTGAGGCCTGTGGGATCTTAGTTCCCTGACCAGGGGTCAAACTCATGCCCCATGAGATGGAAGCGTGAAGTCAACCACTGGATTACTCGGGAAATCTCAGGACATGTATTTTAAAATGATATATTGAAAATTAAAAAATTTCCAGTCCCAAACAGAGATAAAAATCAGCACAAATTTAGTGGAGCCCAGGAGGGGAGCTGAGAATCATGCCACCGCAAATCTCTTGGAGGAGTTTTGTGCATCCTGAAGCTGCAGAGAGAACCCTTTGGTTCTGCACCTGGATCCTGTCCCTGGATCCATCGCAGCGCAGGGCCCTGTTGTATACTGGGCATGGCTGAGGCTGTGCTTTCAAAGGGCTCAATCAAGTCTTGTGGGCAAGAAGTATTTCCAGGGACCTTGCAGGGAAACACTCGATGCCAGCCAGGGAAGAGCATTCTGGAAAAAGGGAAGCACACATGCAAAGGCCCTGAGGCATGAAGCAGGGTCCCCCTTGTGGGGGGGTGTGTGAAGCACGAATGAGGTGTGAGGGGCACCCAGCAGGTGAGAGGTTGGAGAGAAGGACAGAACAAGAGCATGGAGCACACAGACCCAAGAAGTTGGACTTCTTCCAGAAGGAAGTGGGAAACTGGAAGGTTTTTAACACAGTTGACTCACCTGGATTTCCACTTTAGAAAGATCAGCCTGGGGGAACTGGAGGAGGGAGTGGGAGAGGAAGTACTCTTAAGGAGACCTGGTCAGAGATGTCCCAGTACTCTGGCCAAGAACTGATGGTGAAGACATGGACACAAGGCTTTATCTACCTCCAGGGTTAATAAAAACTTCATATTTTCAGCCCAACTTGGAACTGTCTTCCCCCATGCCCACCCCTTTTCCTCAGAACACCAATTGATCTTTTTTTTAATGTGTTATCCTTTATTTACTTTAGAGACAGAGAAAACACAGAGAGAGAGACTTCTTTGGGTTGCAAATAGTGATGGAGCCAGGATTAAGAACTCAGTCTTGCCAGCCCTCAGTGGATTTTATGATATTTATGTATACAATGCCCGCTCACTCTTCCGCTCTGCCAGTAAACAGAGCTGATAAATATGAAGAGGACAGCAGCTGAGAGCTCGCTTCCATCCTAAAAAGGCAAGAGGACTGGGAAGGCTCGTTAGGAGAAAATATTGAACAGCCAGTGTTTGAGTTTTACCTGTGATGTGAGGGGAAAAATAGTGCATTTTTGTACTATTTT